GTGGGGGGATTATAATATAATTACATTGTTTTTCCATTTCCTTTATTCCCTCCAACTCCACCCCTTTGCCTATTTTGCTCTCTTTCAAATTCATAGCCTCTTTTTCTTTAATTTTATTTTGTTTTGTGTGTGCGTATTAACACATAACTACAACCTGCTTGGCCCATATAATGTTACTTGTATGTGTATGTTTTCAGGACTGATCATTTGATATTGAGTAACCAATTGGTGTGCACTGTTTCCCCAGTTCTTAATTGCCTATAGCTTTTTGCTTAGGGTTGAGGCCTTGTGAGCTTTCCCTCTCAGATGTTAGCTTGTCTTTTGGTGTCCTCTTTGTTCAGGTCTTGTTAGGCCGCCATGTTGGTGACACTTCATGGGTATAACTTCTCTGGCATATCTAGGAGACATGATCCCACAGCAAACTTCCTGTCCCTGTCTGTCATGTCTTTCTTAATGATCCCTGAGCCTTAGCTTCAGAATTTTGTTATAGTTGTTAGTTGGGACTGGGCTTTACAACTAACTCTGTGTTTTGATTAGTTGTGGTTTTCTGTACTGGTCTGAGTCTTTTGTGAAGGGAAGTTTCCTTAATGTGGGGTGAGAACTACAGTTCTCCAGCTAGACCCTGGGAGAAGCATGTGTTTTTCAGACAAGGTCTCACTCACTATATAGTTTTGGCAGTCCTTATGTTGTCCGGGCTGGCCTTGAATTCATGGAGATCTGCCAGCCTCTGCCTCCCGAATGCTGAAATTAAAGGTGGGCACATCTACTGCTGGCACTTGAACTTATCTTAAACAACTCACGTGCAAGGGTCAGATGTTTTTGATTTATGTTACTCTCCTAAAATTGGAGCTAAAACTCATGTTGGTTAGAGAAGGTGAGAAAGATGACATTTGAACTGCAACTAAAGAGTGTTTCATACTGTGGTCACTAAAACAGGAAGTGATGCATCTGGTATAAGTGGGAATAACTCATGTAAATAAAAACAAAACTAGTACTGTGTGCCATTTGATTTGTGTTACATCTCTTTCCCCATCCCCCTGTGCTTACAGTTTTATAAAAATGGAGTTTCAAGCTGTAGTTATGGCCGTTGGTGGGGGATCTCGGATGACAGACTTGACTTCCAGCATTCCCAAGCCTCTGCTTCCAGTTGGAAACAAACCTTTAATTTGGTACCCGCTGAACCTGCTTGAGCGTGTTGGATTTGAAGGTGAGCTGTGGCAATGACAGATGCAATCATAAAACTTTCAGTGTGTTTGATCCCAATAATTTGTCAGCATTATGAGAGTGAGAGAGGAGAGATGATAGCAGACCAGGGCTGAAAGTTTGCTGGAGACTGGACACTTAAGTTGGGGACCCCGGAGTACCCTTTTACTGTTTGGGGAAAAAATGAGAACATATTGCTAAACATTGCTGTTAAAGAGGGGGTTCTCCACAGTGATCCAAAATGGACCCTTTAAGGATATCAGAAAGACAAGATTGGGGATCTAAACGCCTGGCTGTCCATACTTGCTGAGAATCTATGCTTTGGTGTGCTCAGTAATATTTTAAGCATAAGAATAGAAGACTGAAAAGACAGCTCAGGCAGGCTCTGACTTCTAGAACCTTCCTTAAAATCTGGTAGGAAGAGTTTTTGTCTACTTTTCGCTTAGGTCAGATTAGATGGATGATGCCATTAAATGAGACAGGGAACAGATTTGAACAAAGATGAGTTCAGCTTTGGCCATATTGAGTTTGAGGTATCATTAAGTAGAATGAATCAAAATGCAACAAATCAGGGCCCAGACATCTACAAGAAGGTTCATTTAACTGTGAGAGTTACACAGACCCATAAACATTTCTATGTAGTAGTCTAGGTAACATTGGTTTTAAGAGATTTATTTTAAAATTTTTCTTTCTTGGGGGCTGGAGAAATGGCTCGATGGTTAAGAACACTTGCTGCTCTTCCAGAGGAACCTAGTTCAGTTCCCAGTTCCCACATGGCAGTTCCCAGACCTCACGGCTCTCAACAAATGGTCTGTAACTTCAGCTTCAGGGAATCTGGTATTCTTTTCTGGCCTCTGGGGGGCACTGCATATGTATGCACACAGATACACACATAACACAGATATAAAAATAAATTCTTTGTATTATATGTTTTAATATTCTTTAGGTTTACTTTATTTTATAAGCATGAATATTTTTGCCTACAAGTATGTATGAGCACCAGATGCATGCCTGGAGGCCACAGAGGTCAGAAGGTGTCAGATCCCTTGGGATTAGAGTTATGGATGGTTGTGAACTGCCATGTGGGTGCTAGGAATTGAACCCTGATCTTCTGAGAGCAGCAAGTGCTGTTAACCACTGAACCATCTCTCCAGTGCCTAAATCCCATCTTCCGTTTGGGGAAATAATAGGCATGGATGTGCAAATGGAGGTCAGAGGGCAACCTTCAAGAATTGCTCTGTCCTTCCATCATATGTGTCCTTGAGATTGAACTCAGAGTCAGGCTTGGCAACCATCCCTGAGCCATCATACTGGCCCTATAGACTTTTTGTTTTCTAAACTGGAGTTCTTTGTTTGTTTGTTTTGTTGTTGTTGGTTGTTTGTTGTTTTTGTCTTGAGATAGGGTTTTTCTGTGTACCTTTGGAGTATGTCCTGGAACTCGAACTATAGACCAGACTGGTCTCAACCTCACAGAAATCCACCTGCCTCTGCCTTCTGAATGCTGGCATTAAAGGTGTGAGCCACCAATACCCAGCTAGATGTAGAATTCTTCACTAATAATTTTTTTTAAATATTTGTGAGTGTTTTACCTGCATGTATGTAAGTGCAGTGTGTTCATACCTGTTGTTTGCAGAGGCCAGAAGAAGGCGCTGGATCCTTTGGAACTAGAGTTACAGATGGTTTGTGAGCCACCATGTGGGTGCTAGGAACTGAACCTGGGTACTCCGCAAGAGCAGCAAGAAGTCTTAACTGCTGAGCCATCTCTCCAACCCCTAATCAATTAATTTATTGTGGGATTATTTATTTATTTATTTTGTTTTGGGGGGACAGGGTTTCTCTGTGACTTTGGAGGTTGTCCTGGAACTAGCGCTGTAGACCAGGCTGGTCTTGAACTCACAGCGATCTGCCTGCCTCTGCCTCCTAAGTGCTTAGGTTTAAAGGCGTGTGCCACCACCCCTGGCAGATTTTTATTTTTATTTATTGTACTTTATATGTATGAATGGTTTGCCTGAATGTATGCATGTCACCACATATATACCTGTGCCAGAGAAATCTGGAGAGGGCATTGAATCCTCTGGAATTGGTGTTAAGGATGGTTGTGAATCACCGTGTTAAGTTCTGAGAACTGAACCCAGGTCCTCTGCAAGAGCAGCAAACGCTTTTTTTTTTTTTTTTTTTCTTTTTCTTTTTCAAGAGAGGATGAGACAGGGTTTCTCTTTGTATCCCTGACTGTCCTGGAACTCACTTTGTAGACCAGGCTAGCCTCAAACTCAGAAATCTGCCTGCCTCTGACACCCAAGTGCTGGGATTAAAGTCATGTGCCATTACCACCTGGCTGAACAGCTAATTCTCTTAACAACTGAATCATTGCTCCAGCTTCTAATTAATTATTACTATTTTTATTTGTATTCTCAAGACAAGATCTCTCCATATAGAAGATTTTGCTTACCTAGAAATTAATATAGACCAGGCTGGCCTCAAACTCAGAGATCCACCTGCCTCTGTCTCCCAAGCAGTAGGATTAGAGGTGTCTGCAACTATATCCAGCTTTATTAATTTTGAGACAGGTTTTCAAACTTGTTTAGTAGAGGATGATCTTGGCCCTCAGTCTTATATGTACTTCCTGAGTTCTGGGATTATAGACATGTGCCACCCAACTAAATTTTGTGCAGTGCTGGGGATAGAATACATGATTTCATGCATATAGAGACCATCTCCAGCCCTAAATGTAGAGCTTTTTAACATTTTGTATACACTTATCTATTTTGTTTGTTTGTATATCTCAGTATGGGTGTGTATACAAGCTGTGTCTCATGTGTGGAGGTCAGAGTACAAGTTTTTGTTTTGTTTTGTTTTGTTTTTTAGATTATGTATTTATTTATTATGTATACAGTCTTGTGCCTGCATGCCAGCAGAGGGCACCAGATCAAGTCAGTAGTTCTCTCTTTCCACTATGTGGGCTCAGGTTATTGGGCTCAAAGAAGTGCCCCTACATCTCACCAGCCCCTGCTGGCTCTCCCTTTCTCTCCCCCTCCCTCTCCCTCTCCCCCTCTCCCCCTTTCTTTCCTCTTCCCCCCTCCCCCCTCTCTCTCCCAAGCTGGGATCCTCAAGCCTGCTAGGTAAATGATTTATCCTTGAGCCATAATCCCCATCCCTCTCCCCCCCCCCAAAAAAAAAAAACAAGAACAGGCTCCCTCTAAGTTGCTAAAGCTATTCTTGAACTCATTTTGTAGTCACACAGATCTTGAATTTATGGTCTTCCTGCCTCAGCTTCCCAAATAGCTAAGTTTACAGATCCACACCACCACCTGGTAAAACGAAGGCTAACCTCAAAATCACTATGTATACCAGACTGAGTTCAAATTCATAATCTCATACTTCAGCATACTGAGTGCTAAGATTACAAATGTGCTCCACAATACCTACCAAACAGAATTGAGCATCTGCTGTACTCTGCTTCAATCACACTTTCTCTATCTTAGCATACGAGAGTGCACACAAACACATACACACACTTTTTTTTTAACATAATGATAAGGGGTGGAGAATAGATTTGGGAATAGTTGGTGAATATAATCAAAATATATGCATGTGTGAAATACTCAGAAATTAATAAAATAATTACATTAAAAATTTAAAACAACCAGGTGTAATGGAGCATGACTCTGGCCCCAGCAGAGGCAGGCGGATCTCTGTGAGTTTGAGGCCAGCCTGGTCTACAGAGGGAGGTCCAGGATAGCCAAGGCTGTTGTTACACAGAAACCCTGTCTGGAAAAACAAACAAAATTTAAAGTAATGCTCACTTCAGCAGAGCACATACCAAACTTAGAATGATACAGAGAAGATTAGCATGGAGCCTGCACAAGGATGTCAAGTAAATTTGTGAAGTTTTCCACTTTTTTTTCTTCCTTTCTGCCTTCCAGCCAGCACCCCTGGGTAAGTGGGTTTGTAATGCTAACTGTTACTTTGTGAATTTGTTGCCACTGTTTCCCTGTGAAGCAAAGGCATTGGATGTGGGATGTAAAGGAGCTCACTTTCTCCGTAGCTATCACTGTCTGGTTTTCCTGTAACTTGGGTAGGTTTTGGTCTCACGCCTTGCTGCAGAAAAAGAAAGATGGTGAAGAAAAGGAGCTGCAAGAGATTGCAAAGATAGACCTCAGCCAGACTGGGTGGGTTCTTAGGAGTCATTTCTTTCCTTCCCCTGGAAGGGGAAACAGCTTTTTTCACTGGTACATTTCAACCCCAGCTGTAGGGTGGTGAGAGTTCTGGACAAGTGCCCCTGCATCACAGAATCCTCAGAGGGCCCGAGGTTCTTAACCTGAAGATGAAGTTCGCTGCTGGCCACTGCCAGGTCTGACTGGTGTTTTAAGGATATTGGTGTTGCATGTAGGAACTGCATTATTAACTCATTCAACCTGTGATTGGTGGTGTTTTTCTGTCATTTTAGGAGATATAAATGTGGAATGGGAGGACAGATGTAAAAAACACCTGTATTAAACATAAGCTGGTTTTCCATTAAAAAAATAAAACACATTGAAAAGGTTCAGCAATATTAGTAGTTGTGATTTTTGTTTTGAATTTGTGAGGCAAGTTCTCACTTAGTCCATGGTGTCTTCAACTTGACGAGGATGGCCTTTTATTCCTGATCCTCTGTCTCCACCTCTGGAGTGCTGGTTTGCAGGCTGCAGACATGTGCTACCACAACAGAGCACATTTGACTGAACGATCAAAATTGTCTCGTGAATGAATTTCTGCATTTGTCTGTAATTTCTTTCATCCTATAGAAGTCATTGTGATTACAACCAAAGATGTTCAAAAGGCACTTTGCACAGAATTCAAGATGAAAATGAAACCAGATATCGTATGCATTCCTGAGGAGGCTGACATGGGAACTGCAGATTCTCTACGCCACATATATCCAAAACTTAAGGTAGAAAACTATTTCTTGATTTTTAGTTTTATTGAAGATAAATAATATATTGTTTGGCAGTACTTTATAGTTTACAAAAAACTTTGTTTTTAGACAGGGTCTCACTGTGTAGCACTGGCTAACCTAGAACTTTTGATGTAGATCAGGCTGGACAAAAACTCACAGAGATATGCCTCTGTCTCCTGAGTACTTGGATTAAAGTCATATACCACCATACCTGATTTTAGTTTTTAAAGATTTAAAAAATATATTGTATTTTTTGTTTGTTTTGACAGTTTCATGTAGCCGAGGATGACCTTCAACTCTTGATTCTCCTGCCTCTACTTCTCAAGTACTGGGATTACAGGCTTGTATCAACAAACCTAGTTTAATATATCTTTATATCCTGTTCATTATAGCCCATTTACTCTGCAACTGCTCTTTGGTTTGATTATTAGTAAAGATTTAGAAATTCAGTCAATGTAGTCTGCTTTCCAAGTAGTAATATGTCCGTTTTTGAGACATAGCCTCAGTTTTAGATGATCTAATCCATCAGTTTTCCAACACCAGAATCCTCCATATTGAGTATTTTAAGTGCAGTTTCCACGCCAGTCACACTCTGAGGTACATGTACGTTCATCTCCATTTTACAGATGGGAAAAGTGTGTCTTGGAAGCTCTAGTGGCATGTATGGAGGAAGAGTACCCATTAGGTGCCAGAATCTTGGTTGATGCATTAAATAACCAAAGCATTGGAAATATTATGTCTTCTGGGTACAGCCAGGTGGCACATGACTCAGTGGAAATTATGATTTGAGCGTCCAGTAGTGGAGTGGGTTAGAATCCATAAGAAGTCAGGCATGAACCAGGCGCCCTCTAGAGGAGCATCAGAAAGTGCTGCCTGCATTGGCTTGCAGAGTTAGGAAAGCTTCAGGAACTAACTTTACTTAGGAAAGCTTTACTTGTAATTGGGCTTTTCAGAAAGAGTGGGAGTTTGTGATGGTAGAGAAGTGAGGAGTGGAAATAGGACAGATAACTCCTGAAAAAAAACATGAAATTTTCTGAATAATCTGTATTTTAACAGTTGGGGAATTACTACAAAGTTTAAATACCAGGGATTATTTTAAACCCATGTTATGTAAAGAACTCCCTCAGGATAACCTTAAACATCTGAAACTCACTTTTACATGTTTTTATTTGTTGGAAATTTGCCAAGAGAATACATATCAGTTACATAACAATATATTTTTCCCGAAGACATTAGCCTAATTAAGGTTTGATTTCCTTTTCTCTTGGGTTTTTTGTTTGGTTGATTTTTTTGTTTCCTTTGTTTGTTTGTTTGTTTGTTTTGGTTTTTTGACACAGGGTTTCTCTGTATAGCTCTGGCTGTCCTGGAACTCACCAGGCTACCCTTGAACTCACAGAGTGCTGGGATTAAAGCCACTGCCTGGCTCTCTTCTTTCAAAGCAGAGTCTTGCTATCTAGCCCTGGCTGACCTGGAACTCAATATGGAGACTAAGGTGGCTTCAGATTTGTGGTGATTCCCCCTGTCTCTGAGTTCCAAGTGCTGGGATTTCAGGCATGTACACCTGGCAAGGTTTAATTTAAAAAAAAAAAAAAAATTCAAGGAGAAAGATCAACAAGTGGAAAATGGGAAGAGGTGGGGATTGAAAGCAACAAAGGCCTGCATTGTAATAACAGATAATTATTTACACATGTGAAACGGGAGGGGCAAGGGTTGCAAACAACAGAGACCTGTATTGTAGTAACAGCTAATTATTCACATATCTCTACCTGGAACCTGCCTGAGCACTTCTGAGGATACTTAAATTTCATATAGTGAACAGTATATCTGAGAAAGTAATTTATTGCTTTGGAAATTTAGTACCTGTTCATAGAGACTGCCCTGAAGTAGAATTAGTTTATTAGCCAATTATGGTCACAAGGATATAAAGTTTATTTTCTGTAGGGTTAACCAGAGCATTTGTTCTGTAGATCTCAAGAGAGAGCATTCATATCTAATAGTATATCTAGATTTCTAATCCACACAGCCACCTGGAAAGATAGACATCAGTTTGCTTTACTATGGAAAGTTCTCTCTATTGAGAGAACTTAAATAACCTACTCCAAAGCAAATACCTGCCTGGGTTGCTAGACCCTGTCTTTGAGAGGTCTTTGGTTTTGCTTTTGAGTTTTGTCTTTTTGAGACAGAAGTTTGCCATTAGCCCTGGCTGGCCTCTGACTCTCAACCTTAGCCTTCTGAGTGTAGTACCATACCTGGCTCTACCCCTGAGTTTTGTTATACACTTGTACCCATTGCTTCTACTTCCTAAAGTGTAAATTTCATTTAAAAATTGGCAGTCTCAAGGTGGCATACTCCGTTAAGTCCAGTACTTGGGAGGCAGAGACAGGTGGATCTCTGAGTTCAAGGACAGCCTGGTCAGAATAGCCAGGGCTACACAGAGAAACCTTGTCTTGGGAAGAAAAAAAAAAATAGCAGTCTCCTAGTAGTATCTAGTAGTACTCCTGTAGAATCTTTGACCTGCAAGTATGCAGTTCTTGTTTCTTCATATCTTTTTCTTCAGTGAAGGGAAGTCTGAACTTGAATACCTGATCCCTCTGCCTCTCCCTCCTAAGTGATGGAATTACAGGTGTATGCCACAATACTCAGCTGGGACTTGAGTATTATAGGAAGACTATCATTTGTCTAAGGGCATATGAATGAGAAGCCTGCCAAAGTAGAAATGTAGTCTATGCTTAGCACATAAAAACTGAGTGACTCCTTGGACAGTGAATCAGATCTGCATTTGACCCTTTTGCCTTTCTGAAGTCATTGGTCATTAGTGCTGTTCCTGCTTGGCCTTTAGAAACCAAATTTGGTTATTCCTTAGATAAATGTTCTAAGAACAGGCCAGTGAGGTATATTTAAGGGGTCTAAGTAGACTAGATCTGTAATAGAAGCCTGTGTTAAGCATTTACCTTATATTTCAGGTCTTATTGCTATAGCCGCAGGCAAACCTCATTTACCCTCTGCCTCAATTTCACAACTCTGAGAGCAGGGATAATGATACCAGCATACTAGTTGTTAGAGGTCTAGTTATTTAAATCCTTTGATGTAGAAGAAGGACTATTGTTATATGTTTTATGAAATAGCAAACATGCTACAACAAAGAACAAATTATGATGAAATCCCCTGGAGACAGCTTATTAGAAAAATTGAATAAACACTCTATTTTTAGATGTGTAAAAAACTAAACGTAAGTTATTTTCAGTTAAGTGTTTGATGTCCTTATCGAGTTACAAATCTCTGTCAGTCTTTCCTGGAACCTTTCATTTAGCCCAGTGTTTTGTTTTTGTCAGATTTCTATCTGTTTGGAAAAAGTAAGTATAATTTGGCCAAGGGAGGATCTGAGAACCTGGTCCTGACTTGCCTAAAGACTTTTTGTAAGTGGTAACTTTCTTCTGATGAATGCTTTGGTGGGCTGCAGTATATCCCTGGTGATCACTTCTTTGCTAGGGCTCTTAGTAAAAATTCCAGGTGTTACAACAGAACCAGACTGGGGTTTTCAAAGCCTTTTTATTATTGTTGTTGTTGTTGTTGTTGTTGTTGTTGTTGTTGTTGTTTTTCTTCTCCTCACTTTGAAAATGCTCAATAGAGCTTTTCCCTTGCTTATACTAATCTCATAGGTCCACAGCTTGAAATGTTTCCATCCCTTTGTCTCTCTCTCATTGCTGCTGAATAGAAATCTAGTCTGTGGAGTGGGGCTGCTTATAGCCTGTCTTTCATTTGATAAGCCGGCAAACTTTAAAGCTTTGTTTTTAAGCTTGATTTCTTTGAGTGTTTTCTTTCCCTATAGGGAGCCCTTTCATGGAACAAAGGTATGTAGGGAGTGGGGACTGATATAAGCTAGGAATTTTGATAGAAAGTGTAGACTGTCATCATAAACTTCATTGGTGAGTAACCGAGCATCCTATATCTGGAAGTGCCTGTTAA